TGGATTGGAAAAGATAAGCTGGGTTGGAAAAGAAAGCCCGCCGTAGGCGCCGACAAAATGAATTGATGGATTGGGTTGGGTGGATTGGATTGTATTGGATAAGATGGATTGGATTAGATAAGATGGGATGGATTGGAAGAAATGGACTGGAGAAGATAAGATGGGTTGGATTGGCCCGCCGCAGGCGCAGGAACAAATGAATTGATGGATTGGGTTGTGTGGATTGGATTGGGTGGATGAGATAAGATGGGACAAGATGGGTCGGATAAGATAAGATGGATTGGATTGGACAAGATGGATTGGATAAGATAAGCTGGATTGGATAAGAAAACCAGCCGCAAGCGCCGAAAAAAATGAACGCCGGGACGCCCGGGACACCCAGGACACCCGGGACTCCCGGGACACCGCCCGGCCCAACTGGGACACCTCCCAGCCACTGGCGGACGGGTAACGGACTTTCGCTCCTACTGACACCCGGGACACCCGGGACACCGCCCAGCCCAACGGGGACGCCTCCCAGCCACCGGCGGACGAGAACTTTCGCTCCTACTTCGGCCTAGCTACACGAGGATCACGCGCAACTTCACCTCGCCCGCACGTACGACACGAACACAAAACCGAAACCGATTCCCCGGTGGTGTCTCAGTTTCACTGCGATCTCACCCCCCAACCTACGATATACCTATACCTATACGACCGCCCTGCAGGCGATAAGGAAGTTGGGGGAGATTGAAATCAAATGCCCACCCTGACTGACCTCCAGCCTGTCACCTTCATTTCATCTCTCTGTGGAAGAGATGGCTTGGATAAGATAAGATGGACTGGATTGGAAGAAACGGATTGGATATGATAGGATGGATTGGACTGGCCCGCCGCAGGCGCAGAAACAAATGAATTGATGGATTGGGCTGGATGCATTGGACTGGGTGGGCTAAGATTAAATGGGACAATATTGGTTGGATAAGATACGATGGATTGGATTGGACAAGATGGATTGGAGAAGATAAGCTGGATTGAAAAAGAAAGCCCGCCGCAGGCGCCGACAAAAATGAATTGATGGATTGGGTTGGGTGGATTGGATGGGGTAAGATGGATTGGATACCATAAGATGGGTTGGATTGGAAGAAATGGATTGGACAAGATAAGGTGGGTTGGATTGGCCCGCCGCAGGTGCAGAAACAAATGAATTGATGGATTGGGTTGGGTGGATTGGATTGGGTGGGACAGGATAAGATGAGCCAATATGGGTTGGATAAGATAAGATGGATTGGCTTGGACAAGATGGATTGGAAAAGATAAGCTGGATTGGATAAGAAAACCCGCCGCAGGCGCCGAAAAAAAGATTTATGAAATTAGCGACATGCGTTAGCGCCGGGACGCCCAAGACACCCGGGACACCGCCCAACCCAACTGGGACACCTCCCGGCCACCCGCGGACGGGAAACGGACTTTCGCTCCTACTGCGACACCGGGGACACCCGGGAAACCGCCCGGCCCAACTGGGACACCTCCCAGTCACCGGCGGACGGGAACGGACTTTTGCTCCTACTTCGGCCTAGCTACATGAGGACGAGGGTCACGCGCAACTTCGCCTCGCCCGCACGCACGACACGAACACGAAACCGAAACCGATTTCCCGGTGGGGGGTCTCCGTTTCACTGCGATCTCACCCCCCAACCTCCGACGACCGCCTTGGGGGCGATAAGGAGGTTGGGGGGGATTGAGATCAAATGCCCACCCTGACTGACCTCCAGCCTGTCACCTTGATCTCATCTCTCTCTTTCTCTTTGTCTCCCTCTCTCTTTCTCTTTCTCTTTGATAAGATGGATTGGATTGGACAAGATGGATTGGATAAGAGAAGCTGGATTGGATAAGAAAGCCCGCCGGAGGCGCCGACAAAAATGAATTGATGGATTAGGTTGGGTGGATTGGACTGGATTGGATAAGATGAATTGGATCAGATAAGATGGGTTGGATTTGCAGAAATGGATTGGATACGATAAGATGAATTGGATTGGCCCGCCGCAGGCGCAGAAACAAATGAATTGATGGATTGGGTTTGGTGGATTGGATTGGGTGGGATAACATCAAATGGGACAAGATGGGTTGGATAAGATAAGACGGATTGGAATGGACAAGATGGATTGGAGAAGATAAGCTGGATTAGATGAGAAAGCCAGCCGCAGGCGCCGAAAAAAATGAATTATGAAATTAGCGACGTGCGTTAGCGCCGGGACGCCCGGGACACCCGGGACACCGCCCGGCCCTAGTGGGACACCTCCTGGCCACCGGCGGACGGGAAACGGACTTTCGCTCCTACTGACACCCGGGACACCCGAGACCCCGCCCGGCCCAACCAGGACACCTCCCAGCCACCGGCGGACGGGAACGGACTTTCGCTCCTACTTCGGCCTAGCTACAGGAGGATCACGCGCAGCTTCGCCTCGCCCGCACGCACGACACGAAACCGAAACCGAAGCCGATTTCCCGGTGGGGGGTCTCCGTTTCTGCGATCTCACCCCCCAAGCTCCGACTGTTCCTTTTAGGCTTCGCGGGAACTATCCCCTCCTAGGAGGGTGGGCTGGCGGGGCTGACATACCATGGCCCAGTGGGGATGAGATCGGTCAAACAATGCTGCCATAATTTGTCAGGACGTCGGATCGGCGAGGCAGCCACGAGTAGGTTCACCGAGCTAGATATGAGAAGCGACCCGAAGCCAGAGCCCCTCTTGAGCCAAAGGTGGTACTTATTTCATCGTCTTGACTGTAGAGAAGGTCGCGTTATCGTAGCACATCGCCGTTGCATCGCCGACACACCAGCGCCGTCAGGCCAGAGAAAATCTAGCCCCAGATCGCGCCGCATCGTGGCCCCATTTGGGAGGCCTGAAAGATTTCAGGGGTGGGTATGATGTGTGCCAGGTCCATCGCTGGTTTCCGCCCCTTGCGAGGCAGTGATTAGCTGAGTCCACGCGACTCATCGAGAACCAGGGCGTTTGTTTTCTGCTCCAGGTCCCTGTGTTTCTTGCCTTCCACACAGACAGGGGTGCTGAAATCAGATCACTCGATGGGGAACTCCGTCGACCCCTCGAAGTCTCCAGAACTACCCGGAAGCCTCTGGAAGCCCTCAGAAACCTCCAGAGGCCCAATAAGTCCTAAAACCGTCCAAACACCTTGATCCTCGAACCTCGACGACGACGCCGACGACTACGACGACGATGACGACGACGACGACGAGGGGAACGACTTCTGCCCGCCACACCACACGCGCATCGATGCGCGCGGCGATGCGCCGCTGTGAAACTTTGCCATAAAGTATAAAGAGCACCGTCGAGAGGCCCTCCCAAGAAGACCCCCAAGAGGCCCCAGAGAGGCTCCAACTGAAGAGAACGATGCCCATCGGTCGGAAAAAGTGGGTGGAAACATCAAGTAGGAAAGCGTCGAAAGTAGATTGGGTTTCCGCCCGCCCCCTGAAGAGGAGAGATGAGGGAAAGCCGTTCGACTCTTGAAATAGGCAGACGCCGAAAGTATCGGAGGTTGTAGGGTGAGATCGCAGTGGAATGGAGAGCCCCCAACCGGGAAATCGGTTTCGGTTTCGTGTTCGTATCGTGCGTGCGGGCGAGGCGAAGCTGCGTGGGCGCGCAAGAAGAATGATTAGGGGATCTGCAACCGGTTGTCCGCCCGCCCCCCCGGCGCGCGGGGGCCGGGGGTGTCCCGTCAGTGGCGCATCGGTGTCCCGTCGGTGTCCCGTGGGTGGTGGCTCCAGGTGTCCCGCCGTGGTGTTTCGATGGTAGCTCGTGAGATCAGCTGTGAGGTCGATAGTGAGATCGATAGCGAGATCGATTGCGTGATCGATCGTGATCGTGAGATCGATCCCGGGTTGCGGCGGTGGTGGCGCGGGGGTGCCCCGTCAGTGGCGCGGGGTGCCTCGTCGGCGGTGCGGGGTGTCCCGACGGTGGCTCCGGGTGTCCCGCCGTGGTGTTTCGATGGTAGCTCATGAGATCAGCTGTGAGATCGATTGTGGGATCGATAGTGAGATAGATTGCGTGATCGATCGTGATCGTGAGGTCGATAGTGAGATCGAGAGATCGATAGTCAGATCGATAATGATATCAATAGCGAGATCGATCACATCAGATCTTTGGCTGGGGGTGCCCCGCCGTGGCTGGGGGGGGCACATCGTGGTGTGCCGATGGTGTCTAGTGGGATCTCTTGTGAGGTCGATCGTGAAATCTCTTGTGAGATCGATATTGGGATGGACAATGACTTCGATATTGAGGCCGTAGTGTCCGCTGTGGTGGCAAGTATGTGGCCCGCTAGTGTTCTGACAAGGTGCCCATCTTGCCCTGCTGGTGTCCCGATCGTACTGATCGCCAATCAGTGTGAAATCTTTAGTGGGATCTGTTGAGAGTTCGATCAAGAGATCGAAAGAGATATATTGTGAGACCGACGGTCCGATCGATAAAGAGATCGGCTGTGAGATCGATACTGAGATCGATAGTATGATCGATAGTGAAACCGGTAATGAGATCAGTCGATTGGAGTCGAATGCGAGGTCACATTTATGTGGTGTGAGCTCCATCGCGACTGTGTCGCCTTCATTGCAATCACCATCATTCATGCTCACCATGAGCGCCATCTCATCGCCATCACAGTCATCGCAGTTGTTGCCAGTGGGTCTGGGATCACCCGGTCATCGCAGTTGTTGTCATCACGTCCCCCCAACCTCCTTATCACAAGAAGAGCCAAGGGTGGTCGTAGGGGTACTGGGATCTGGGATTCTAGAAATACGTACTTTCATGGGGGGGCATTGATCTGGAATCGACGATACATCGACGATAGATCGACGACAGGCCGTCGATAGCGAAACCCAACTTTCTTGGGTGGGGTGGGCTATCGGGCCCCTATCGGCGAGGCATGAGCGTTGTCCCCCTACCGTTGACGGTGATCAAAGGCCTCCAAGAGGCGCCCCAAGAGACCCCGGTGGCGGAATGGGCCGAAGGCAGCCAAATACTTCGGTAACCGTAAAAGGCGCCAGCAATCTGACCGGTGATGGAACCGTGGCTGTCTGCGTCCCCGAGGAGGTTCACAGATCGTGTCACAGCCTCGTCGAACGAGGTGGTATTGTAGACAGACCACAGCGCCAACGCCATCCCGTCCAGCGAGTAGGAGCCAAAGTATCCGGCAGAGACCGGGTAGCCGTTGTAGCTCCTCCCGCGAGCACTCAGGGTGCCAGATATGTCGATGGTCTTGGACCTCCAATTCCAGCAGCGCTCGGTATCGTTCTGGGGTCTCGAGGTCACAAGCCACTTCATCTGGTCGTATCCCCAGCCAGATTTCTTGGACAGGCCCGAACACTCCAGGTACTCGGCCGCCGCCTCGTCGAGGAAGCGCTGCGCGTTGCCATCGTGGTCGCGCGGCAGGCGCAGCGCTTTCACGATCAGGTGCGCCAGGAAGGAGCACGCCTCGGCAGCGATGATCCCTGGATGCGTGGTATAGGAGGACATCCTCGCATAGTAATCCGCCACCGTGCCTTGTGTACGTTAGGGCGTGGAAGAATGCCAAGGGCTGTCTGGTAGGGCTTCTGTATTCTACTAAGGGACACTCACCCGCACCCTTGGCCGCGCCCATCTGCCTGCATCGCCTCCCCTCCCGAAGCCACGATCCCTCGTAAACAACAACGGAAGCGTGCTCCGGAGGCCAAGATCCTTAGTTAAAAGCAATGCATATGCGTCCAGAGCTTCCAAGACGGCCAATGCAGGCAATCAAGGATACAGAGCTGGCCAAAGATGCCTCGAAGGCGGCCAAAGATGGCCCTAAGGCGGCCCATATGGCCCCGAGACGGCCAAAAATGCCACCAAGAAGACCTCCAACAGGGTCCGACCAATCTTCGTTGGTTTTCGAATGAATTTCGCATCCTCGCCTTTTCGGGCTTCCGTCAGCCCCAGGCGGCCAAAGAAGCCTCAAAGACGGCCCAAAAGGCCCCCAAGAGGGTCCCACCATGGCCCAAGAGGTCCCACGATGGCCCAAGAGGCGTCCAAGACGGCCCATGACGGCCCCAAGAGGGCCCAAGACGGCCTCCCGTGGGACCCCAGACGGCCTTGAAGGCCCCCAGGCACCCAGTATACGGCCAAGAGGGCCCCAAGACGACGCAAGACGGGCCCAAGACGGTCCAAGACGGCCGCAAGGGATCCCGAAGACTGCCTCACAGAGGCAAAAGCAGCTCCAATACGGTCCAAACGAATTCCATGAGAGCTTCTTTATCCTCCTCCTCCTCCTCCTCCTCCTCCTCCTCCTCCTCCTCATCATCTTCCTCCTCATCCTCCACTTCCTCCTCCCCCCCCTTCTTCACCTCCTCCTCGTCCTTTTCCTCCTGCTTCTCCTCATCCACCTCTTCCTCACCACCATTATCATCATCATCATCATCATCATCATCATCATCATCATCATCATCATCATCATCATCATCATCATCATCATCATCATCATCATCATCATTAACATGATCCTCGTCGTCATTACTATCATCATCATCATCACCATCATCGTCACCATCATCATCATCATCATCATCATCATCATCATCATCATCATCATCATCATCATCATCATCGTCATCATCATCATTATCATATGTCGCATCGCCCTCATCATGTTCGCTCATAGGTTGCTTCATCACCATCACCATCATCTTCACCATCCGCACCACCATCAACATCTCATATCCGCATCAGCATCAGAATTCCAGTCAGCATCAGAATCCGCATCAGTTTCATCATTATGAAAAGCGCCGTCGCCACCACCACCGTCACGAACATCATCCGCACCGCAACCACTACAACCACAATCATACCCGTCCTCACCCACGTCCGAATCATCATCATAATCCTCGTAATGAGCAACAACTGCACCATAACATCCAATCATCAATAGCATTATCAGCAGCAGCATCACCCATACAACCATTATTGCCACTGTCACAATGAGCAGCAACATCAGAATCATCTACATCACCATCTGCATCATCAATACCAGCATCATCATCATGATAATCATCCTCGTAGCCATTTGCTCGATGTTCCCCTTGATAGGGGGTATTCATGTTAACGGGCGAATGATCTGGATGGCCCTGTGGATCTCCTAGCAGTGGCCCCAAGCTGAACCTCGGAGAAGATGTACCTAACGCCGTGGCAAAGTAATGGATGTTCCGGTAAGCGGGTATACGAAATCACTAGGATTTAATACTACCGACCAGCCAAAAGAGGACAGGCTGGTCGCGCGCGTTCTTTATCCTGCGCGCTGCGCAAAACTGCTGCAGCAAAATACAATCCGTCGCTGTCCGCGACGCCGAGCCCACGTTGAGCGCGGGCGGCGGCGGCAGCGAAAGGCGAGCGGAGCGATGGATAACGACTCGCACCCCTACTGGCCTGGCGCGGGGACTTCGCGCTCGGACAGGCGTTAGCCACATTAGCCAAAGCATCCAGTCCTGGAGGCGCGCTGCCAGGCGCACGGCGCCTCATCATCATCATCATCATCATCATCATCATCATCATCATCATCATCATCATCATCATCATCATCATCATCATCATCATCATCATGATCATCAGCATCATCATCAGCATCAGCATCAGCATCAGTATCAGCATCATCATCATCAGCATCATCATCAGCAGCATCATTATCATCATCAACATCATCATCAGCATTGTCATCGTCATTGCAATCAGCATCAGCATAATCATCATCAACATCATAATCGTCGTCATCATCAGCAGCATCATCATCAGCAGCAGCGTTCTACCAACATCACCATCACCATCGTCCTCATCATCAGCAGCAGCTGCAGCATCCTCACGTGCTTCATCATCAGAATCATCGGCGTCACCATCATTATCATCATCATCATCATCATCATCATCATCATCATCATCATCATCATCACCAGCATCATCAACAACATCCACATCAGCCGCATCAACAACAGCAACAGCAGCAGCATCATCACCACCACCACCACTATCATCATCATCATCATCATCATCATCATCATCATCATCATCATCATCATCATCATCATCATCAGCAGCAGCAGCAGCAGCAGCATCAGTATTGTCATCATGATATTCGTCACCATCACCATAATCATCATCATCAGCAGCAGCAGCAGCATGATCATCATCATCACCATCATCATCAGTATCATCATCATCATCATCATCATCATCATCATCATCATCATCATCATCATCATCACCACCACCACGGCTCTCCCAAACCTGGAGACACGAGGTGCCCCACATGACGACCTCCTGGGACCCCTCGAGCTGTCGCCACGCAGAACGCTGGGCTGGCACGGTGGCGGAACTTGCCGCAGGCAGCTGGATCCGCCGCCCCCTGCCGATTCATCGCAGGTTGCATGGCGTGCTAGACCCTCTCGGTTTTTGTTTTGGTTCTTTTCCAAAAGAACTCCCCCTGGGGCTCCGGCGCGTCCCGCCAGGGTCCCGGGAGGATTGCCACGGAGCAGGATTTCCCCAATTTTCCCCCAAGACGGCAGAAGATGGCCTCCAAGATGGCCACGTTGGCCCAAGATGGCCTCCAAGATGGTCCAACATGGCCTCCAAGTCCGCCCAAGAGAGGAGGAGATGCCTCCAAGTCCGCCCAAGAAACCTCCAAGACGGCCCAAGACGGCCCAAGAGGTGCCCAAGAGGCCTCCAAGACGGCCCAAGAGGCCTCCAGGAGGTCCTCCAGGAGGGCCCGAAAAGGCGAAAATCATTGATTTGCCTTGGGTTTTGAAAGGTTTTTCGTGTTTGCTCCTTTTCGGCTTTCCGACGACCTAAGAGGCTCCCAAGATCGCCCCCACAGCGGCCAAGAGGCCTCCAAGATGGCCTCGGGACTGCCCAAGAGGCCCCCAAGACGGCCCCACGAGGGCACAAAGGCGACCCAAGAGGCCTCCAAGACGCCCAAGATGGCCTCTAAGACTGCCCTGGAGCACCCCAAGAGGGCCCCAAGTCGGCCCAGAGAGGCTCCCCAAACGGCTTCCGACGGCGTCGGACGGGCCAGGAGCTCACCAAGATGGCCGAAGTTGGCTCGAAGCTGGCCCAAGACGGCCCAAGAGGCCTCCAAGAGGGCCTCCTGGAAGGCCAGAAAAAGCCAAAAAGATGAATGGTTGTTTTTGGCTGTTGAAGGATCTTGGCATTTGCTTCTTTTCGGCCATCCGAAGGCCCGATACGGCCTAAGAGTCCCCAAAGATCGCCCAAGCGGCCTCCAAGATGGCCCCAAAACGGCCCTAGAGGCCCCCAAGACGGCCCCAAGAGGCCCCCAAGACGGCCCAGGAGGCTTCTAAGACGTCCAAGATGGCCTCCAAGACGGCCCTGGAGCATTCCAAGAGGGCCCCACGTCGGCCCAGAGGGGCCCCCCAAACGGCGTCCGACGGCGTCGGACGGGCCAGGAGCACACCAGAACGGCCGAAGATGGCCCTAAGACGGCCCTGAGATGGCCCTAAGACGGTCCAAGAGGCTTCCAAGAGGGCCTCCAGGAAGGGCCGAAAAGGCCAAAATCATTGATATCCCATGAGATGTTGAAGGAGTGTGGCATTTGCTTGTTGTTCGGCCTTCCGACGGTCCAAGACGGCCCAAGTGCCCCCAAAGATCGCCCAAGAGGCTCAAGACGGCCCCAAGAGGCCCCCAAGACGGCCCAGAAGGCCTCCAAGACGCTCAAGATAGCCTCCAAGATGGCTTAGAGCCCTCCAAGACGTCCTCCAATAAGGCCCGAACGGGTCAAAATGGCCTCCAGACGGCCAAGATGACCTTCAGGATGCCCACGTGTTCCCCGAATGCTTTCCAAAACGATTCGGGGAACACGTGGTCCGATAGCTTGGCAGGTCTGGCCTCAACGTTCGGCCATATAGGCGCTTCCAAAAAGGCAGGGGGCGGCGGTGATTCGTCGTAGGCATCTTCGATACAGGTCGTCCCAGGACGCCGAATGGAGGTAGAGGGCGATCGGGGTGAATCGCATCAAGCTGCCGTTACCCGCGTCCTCGGAGTAGGCAGAGGAGGTGGGGTAGGGGAGGAGGAGGAGGAGGAGGAGGAGGAGCAGGAGGAGGAGGAGGAGGGGTTAGGTGGAGGAGGCGGGGAGTATGCTGGAGTTTGCAGAGAAGGACGCAATGTCCCACGACCTACTCGCCGCTGCTCGATGGACGAGTTCCCCCTCCAGGTTCACGCCAACCATGCCCCTTTATGCCTGCTCGTAGGAGCTTGCCAGCCGCCACAACTGTGTATGAGGAGAGAGGAAGAAGGAGGGAGGAGCATGCATAGGAGGAGGAGGAGAATGCAAAGGAGGATGAGGACAAGGAGAAAGGAGGAGGAAGGAGGAGGAGCATGCAAAGGACGAAGGAGGAGGATGCAAAGAAGGAGGAAGGAGGGAGGAGGATGCAGAGGAGGACGGTGAAGAGGAGGCGCAGAGGCAAAGGGCGGAGGGGGAGGTGGGCGGAAGAGGAGGGGAAACACAACATCACATGCACATCATGCTACTCTGCCCTGTCCTGTGTGGAATGGGAGGAGAAGGGATAAGGAGGGCGGAGGAAGGAGAAGAGAGGAGAGGGGCGGAGGCGGGCAGGAGGAGGAAGAGAAGGGGGAAGCAAAACATCACGTGCACATCATTTTCCTGTCTTGTCCTGTCGGGAGGGGGGGAGGAGAGAGAAGAAGGGAGGAGGAAGGAGGAGAGGGGAGAAACGAGGAGGGGCAAGAAGAAGAGGAGGGGGAAAGCATAACATCACGTGCACATCATGCTCCTCTGCTCTGTCCTGTCAGGAGAGGGGAGGGGGGGATGAAGAGGGAGGAGGAGGGAGGAGAGAGGAGGGGGTAGGAGGGGGAGGAGGGGCAGGAGGAGGGAAGGGGGGAAAGTGCAGGAGGGTCCTCGCCCCCGACATCGAAGGTGGGAGACACGGAGTCGACCGATTTGTGGCGCGAGACGTCGTACAGCGACTTCGCGATGTTGCCGCCGAGTCCGACTGAAGAGCTCCTCGTCGGCGGCTCGCACAAGTCGGAATTGTCAAAAATCTGCTGTACGCAAGAGTGACCCTGGCAAGAGTGACCTTCACCCACCTCTTCGCGTCGTCAAAAAAAGAGATATACATATATATATATATATATACATATATATATATAGAGAGAGAGAGAGAGAAAGAGGGACAACCAAAAAAAAAAAAAAAAAACGATGCGGGGTGCAATGTTCTGCCTCTGCGGGCCCTCGCCCGGCCCTGGGACCGTCACAGAACGACTCCAGATATAAACGATGCCAGGGAAGAGGTCCAGACCTCTGGGTGTCCAGTGTGGAAACATACAAACAAAAAGAAACAAAACAAGAAACAAAAACAACCAAAAATCGCGTCGGAATTCTGAGTTTGGCGCGCGGCCTGCCAATCGTTACGCGCGATGCGACAACGGCGGCCCGCGTGCTCCGGCCCAGCCCCCCTCGCGCCCTCCCGAAAGGCGCGCAATGGCCAATGGCCAGGATCCTCCGGGATGACGAAGAGTAGGAGGAGGAGGACAGAGGGGGGGGAGAAGGAGAAGGAGTGGCTGGAGGAGGAGGAGGAGGAGGAGGCGGAGGAGGAGGAGGAGGAGGAGGAGGGGCGAGAAGGGTGTCCCCAGGATCCCCCAGGAGGCACGCGGGAGGCCTCCATGGCACCCGCCATGGGGGGGGCCCAGGGGGCTCGAAGGTGGCGCGAACCGCTGGAGACGCCTTGGGCCAGGGACGCCTCTGGCGGCACCCGGCAGGAGGGCTGGCGCGAGGGGAGCGGGCCTCTGAGATGGCGGGGGCCTTCTTGGAGGGCCCCCCCCATGTATCTTTCCTCCCTCCTCCCTCCTCCCTCCTCCGTCCTCCCTCCTCCCTGCTCCGTCCTCCATTCCTTTCTCCCTGTCGCACCCCGGGGCCAGTTTTTAGGGCGGGCCGGGCGTTCCGCCTGAGACTTCCTCACCACTTATAATTCTGAAGCTTAAGAAGTGGCAACAATCCTGACCATGTATGATTCCTCATCATGTATGATCACGATTCCTCATCATGTATGACTATGGAGATCGAGGGCGGGTGGTCTTCAAAATGTGGCTCTCGCCTTGGCGCCGCGCACATTCAATTCTTAAAATTGCAAGAGCTTCACGGATTGAGGCGGGTGGTTTTCAAAATGTGGCTCTCGTTTTAGCGCCGCGCACATTCGTTTCAAACATTTGCTAGAGCTTCACGGATTGAGGGCGGGTCGCTTTCAAAATGAGGTTCTCGCCTTCGAGCGGCGCACATTCGTTTTAAAAATGTGCGAAAGCTTCACGGAATGACGGCGGGTGGTTTTCAAAATGTGGCTCTCGCCGCGACGCCGCGCTCACTCTTTTTAAGAATTCGGATTGGCTCTCGCCTTAGCGCCGCAAAAGTTTCGCCGCTTCCCATGGCCAACGTACCAGAAATTGTGTTTTGGAAAGATTCACGCCTATGCGGGTGCAACAGTTATGTTGGCTCGTGGTGCTGAAGCCCTAAAAAAAACGTTATGGCACGACTCTAAGTCGTCAGGACGCCGCAGTCAGGTTGATCCGTGGCGTAGAAATCCGGAGAACAATGTGTTGGCATGCCCTGTGTAAGGGAAAAGGGGGGAGGAAAACAAAAAAAATAAAACAAAAAAAAACGCTGGCAGGGCTGATGGAGAGGGAACTTGGAGGGAGGGTTAATTCCAACATCGTTGATGACTCTTGGGTTTAGACTGGTCCTCATCCACCTCCTGATCCTCCCGTCCTCCTCCTCCTCCTCCTCATCCTCCTCCTGCTCCTCCTCCTCCGCCTCCTCCTCATCATCCTCCCTCCTCCTCCTCCTTCCTCCTTCCTCCTCCTCCTCTTCCTCCTCCTCCTCCTCCTCCTCCTCCTCCTCCTCCTCCTTTTTCTCCTCCACCTCCTGCTCCTCCTCCTCCTCCTTCTCCTCCTTTTCTTCCTCCTCCTCCCCCTTTTCCTCCTCCTCCTCTTCCCTCCTTCCTCCTCCTCCTCCTCGTCCTCCTCCGCCCCCTCCTCCTCCTCCTCCTCCTGCTCCTCTTCCTCCTCCTCCTCCTCCTCATCATCCTCCTCCTCCTCCTCTTCCTCCTCCTCCTCCCTCTCCTCCTCCTCCTCCTCTTCCTCCTCCTCCTCCTCCTCCTCCTCCTCTTCCTCTCTTCCTCTTCCTCTTCCTCCCCTCCTCCTCCTCCTCCTCCTCCTCCTCCTCCTCCTTTTCCTCCTCTTCCTCCTCCTCATCATCATCGTCATCGTCATCATAAGCATTATCATCATCATCACCATCATCATCAGCAGCAGCAACAGCAGCAGCGTCATCATCATCAGCATCGTCATCATCAGCAGAATCATCATCAGCAGCAGCACCACCAGCCGCAGCATCGTCATAATCATCATCATCCGTAGCATCAGCAGCAGCATCATCATCACCATCATCATCACCATCATCATCCTCATCATCATCACTATCATCATCATAATCATCATCATCATCATCATCATCAAAATCATCAACATCATCATCATCATCATCATCATCATCATCATCATCATCATCATCATCATCATCATCATCATCATCATCATCATCATAATCCTAACCCTCCTCCCCCCTCCTCCCCCTCCTCCTCCCCCCCTCCTCTTCCTCATCCGTGTCCTCATCCTCTTCCTCCTCCTTCCCTAAGCCATCACACCCCACAACATTCTCAGAAGGGGGCAGGGCACCACGTCAGGCACCACTCATTCGCCAAGCACACCCATATGAGTGCAACATACACGGCATTCTTTGTACACCCGCCTCGGGCTCGCCTGGCAACGGCTAAGCCGCGCCAGGGTCGCCGAGAAGCAGTTGCCTGCGCAACTTCCTTTGGTTTCCGTTCTGGTCTTGGACTGAGTATGAGTATGCCCACTCTTTCGGGCACCCCTGGTCCAGTCCGTCTCCAGCGTTTCGGCGTGTGGTTGGCTATCCTCTTCAGGAACTGCCACAACCAACCACACGGGGCAGGCCGACGCTGTCACGAACGACACCTCTGTTTCCGAACGTGCGAAAACACCACGCGCACCTCTTGAATGCAAAGATACACTGTGTCTGGCTGTATTCTGGGACTCCTCCGTACACACCAGAATTGCCAGGAGATGTCAAGCCAGGCTCTGAGAACCTGCTGCTTTCGCCTTCAAAGAAGGGAGGAAACAACTGGGCATGAGGTCCACGCGTGGAACCCGAAAGAAAAACAGGGGTGTCCTCCGACGGTGGGGTGCCCCAAGGCTGGGGCCGCAGCCTGGGCACCCCCCGCCTCGCGGCCCGTGGACGGGGGAAGCGGGCGAGGCAGGAGAACGGGAGGGCTGGCCGGCCGCGTGCCCCCTGCGCGAGGGGGCCCTCAATGCACACCGAAGCCCCTCTTGGTAGGGGAGGGGCCTCGGTGGTTAGCCGAGAGGGGCCCTCCCCATCGCAAGAGGCATAGGGGGTCACATGCGAACCCTACCCCTACCCCGCACGACTTCTGAGGGGGAGGGCGGCGTTCACTTCGTTCCCGAACGAAGTGAACCCCACCCCCCCCCCTCAGAAATCGTGGGGGGTAGGGGTAGGATTCGCATGTGGCCCCCTAGGGCAGCCGTGTATTAGGTCGCCCCCCCAGGGGCGGTCAGCACGGCCAGCAGGAGGAGAGGGAGAGAAGAGGGAAAGAGGAACCGACCACAGGCCGCTCGGCGGGCAGGAGGGGCAGGGCCAGGAAACAGCATGAGGCGCCAGTCTCCCGCCGTGACCCGACGGGATCCAGGTCGACTGGGACATACACCTGAGTGCGATATCCCAGCGGGACGAAGGTACACACAACAAAATACAGGTGTTTGCAGCAGCAGTTCTTGAGCTCAACACCGCAAGACTTAGCGGTGCGGATGCTCGTCTTTGAACAGAGCCCCCCAGCCATCCGAGATCCGTGCCCCAGGAGACCAGAACGGAGGGAGGCGCCCGAGCGGCCCCCTGGGCGAGGGAAAGGCGACCGTTTCTGAGCATCTGCACATGATTATTCTTGTCATGCTTGCAGCCACCCACAAGATCCTTTGGGTGGCGACCTGATGTATAGCTGCCACATATGTTGCAGCACGAAATCCCCTGCCCAGTGGCCAGGACCCTGGCCACTCGGAAGGAGTGAGGTGGGGAAGGGGGGACGGGAGGGCAGAGCACGGAGCGAAGGGAGGGGGCGAGGGGACCACAGGCTGGCATTTGGGCCGCGGCTGAAGACCGAAACGCACGGGCACACTCGAAGCACTGCCAACAGTTGCCCATCCATCTCGTCTTGTGGGCTAGATACACGTGTGCAAAGACCTCTGGCTTGGCTCTCGGTGCCTTGCCAATCTCTCCGAACAATTCTCCGCTCCTCCTCCTCCTCCTCCTCCTCCTCCTCCTCTCCTCCTCCTCCTCCTCCTCCTCCTCTCCTCCTCCTCCTCCGCCTCCTCCTCCTCCTCCTCCTCCTCCTCCTCCTCCTCCTCCTCCTCCTCCTCCTCCTCCTCCTCTCCTCCTCCTCCTCCTCCTCCTCCTCCTCCTCCTCCTCCTCCTCCTCCTCCCTCCTCCTCCTCCTCCTCCTCCTCCTCCTCCTCCTCTCCTCCTCCTCCTCCTCCTCCTCCTCCTCCTCCTCCTCCTCCTCCTCCTCCTCCTCCTCCTCCTCCTCCTCCTCCTCCTCCTCCTCCTCCTCCTCCTCCTCCTCCTCCTCCTCCTCCTCCTCCTCCTCCTCCTCCTCCTCCTCCTCCTCCTCCTCCTCCTCCTCCTCCTCCTCCTCCTCCTCCTCCTCCTCCTCCTCCTCCTCCTCCTCTCGTGCTGTGACTTGGCGTCCACACTCCGCTCCGCCACTCCCCCGCTGTCGCATGCATTCCCCCTCCGGAAGCGTCTCTGCGCCCCTCTCAGCAGGCCCCCACGCCATTTCGAGAGCCCCCCCGCCTGCTTCGAAGACCGACCCCTTCGCGCCGCCCCCGTGCGCGCGCTGCCAATCTCTCGCGCCAGCCCTCTCACGCAAAAGGGGGTGCCACCCCTTGTGCGCGCCACCCCTTTGTACGCGCGGACCCCCTGGCGCCACCCCCCTGCGCCAATCCTCGTGCGGTCGTGACGGAACGCGTTGTTCATGCCGCGGTTCCACCAGCACCAGAACCTCAGGAGGACGCCGGCTAGCCAGGGAACCCCCAGCATGGCGAATGTTCGGTCTGCAGGGGCCCTCGCCGAGACCCAGGGCCTACAAAAATCGACTGGAGATGGAAAGCTAGTCCCGGGGAAGGGGCTTGGACCTCTGGAGGTCCCAGTGGTGAAAAACTCACAACGTCGAGGGCCTGGGACTGGACACCTACAACAAATCCTGGCCAGGCCCATCCTTGCGCAACCAGAATGCATTCATATCCACAATATCCACAGCCGCGGGGACGTGTCCCAGGAACTCGGGGAGCAGTGACTATGAATATTTGCCCGCACACGCGAGCGGGCGGGTGTTCCGCGGACTCGTGTCGTATCGACCCCCGCGTTGATTCCTGACACCGTGGGGATAGTTCAACCTTGAACGGTCGGCCGTTTCCGAAACGACGGCTCGTCCAACATCGACTGATTCTGGGTCGCCAGCGGCGTTCAAAATTGAACGCTGGCCGCGGGGCCGCCGCCGGACGACACGACGCGAACCAACCATATGGATAATTGCCCCGCCCCCGCGGGCGGGCAGGCCTATCAACGTCCACCGCTCCTCGAGATCCCAGGGCACGACTCCGAGTGTGGGGCAAGGTTGGGGGGGACTAGCATACTGGGGGAAACATCGGCCTGGAATCGGCGATACATTGCCGGTAGATTGGCGCTATGCCCCCGACCGTGAATCCCTATCTTCGATCAACGGGCGATTGGGGGTCGATGCATCCCCCCCTGAGCCAGTCCCCCAATAATGCTAGTCCCTGAGGTTTTCTGGCCATAACTCGGCTGACCAGCGGCCGTTCGGGACGATTACAGCACCCCCAGGACGCCCTCGGCGAGGCGCAGCCGCTGGATAACACCCCAAGGCTGGAGACCCGTCGAGAACCAACGAACACGTCCGAAAACCTCGAGCCCAGATTCAGAGAAAGTCATCTGCCCCTGACATGGCCCCCTTTCGTTACCCCTCGCTGGGGCGTGGATGTGGATGGGCCCGTGGAGCCACGCCTGCGCCCGCCTCGCCCGCGACGGCACCATGGGGGGGGGCCCAGAACGGTGCCGCGGCCTCTCTCTCTCCCTCGCTCTCTGTCCGCCGATCCTCCGCCGAGCCTCGAACTGGTCGTCGTCCTCGACCCTCCTCGCTCCTCCTCGATCCTCGAACTCGTCGATGTCCTCGAGCCTCCTCGATCCTCGAGCTGGCCGATGTCCTCGAGCCTCCTCTGGCCTTGAGCTCGTCGTCGTCCTCGACTCCGAGGCGGTGGAGCCCTGGGCCCCCGGGGCTGGTGCACACGCCCCCCTACTGCGAGGCGGGGAGTGATCCACATCCACCGCCTGGGAACCCACGTCCTGGTGCCCCAGCGGGCGGTGGATATGGATATGTTTCGGCCCCCGGGGGCCCGAATATGTCCATATCCACCGCCTGCCGAGGCTCCGAAAACTGACCCTCCAGGCGGTGGATATGGATAAATTCCCGCCTCGGACCTACCAGCTTGGCGGGGAGGGCACGTGCACCGATCCTGGCCCCACAGGGTCCGCCTGGCCTGGATCTCGGCGGCGAGCCCAAGGGGGGAGTCCTCGTCCTGCTCGTCCTCGTCCTCCTCCTCCTCCGACTCCTCCTCCTCCTCCTCCTCCTCCTCCTCCGCCGCCTCCTCCTCCTCCTCCGCCTCCTCTTTGCCTCATCCTCCTCCTCCTCCTCCTCCTCCTCCTCCTCCTCCTCCTCCTCCTCCTCCTCCTCCTCCTCCTCCCTCCTCCTCCTCCTCCTCCTCTCCTCCTCCTCCTCCTCCTCCTCCTCCTCCTCCTTCTCCTCCCCCCTCCTCCTCCTCCTCTGTCCTCCTCCTACTCCGCCTCCTCCGACTCCTCCTCCTCCTCCGCCTCCTCCTCATCCGCATCCTCCTCTGTCCTCCTCCTCCGCCTCCTCCTCCCCCTCCTCCTCCAACTTCTCGTCCTCCTTCCAACAGCTGCGTCAAGCCGGGGGCAGGCCTCGGCGAGGCGCAGCTGCTAGAAAGCACCCTGGGCCTGGAAAAGCGCGGGGAACGCACGAAGGCGCCCCGAAAAGTTCCCCCCTCTGAGCCTATCCCCCCCTATCGTTGCCCCCGACTCGGCGGCTATCCCGAGGAGAAGGTGAAAGGGGGCAGGCGTTCTTAGAAGGCGGCGGGGATTCTTGGGAGCTGTCTCGCCTTCTGAGGAAGTGTTCTGTGTTTTCGGGAAAGGTGTGGAAAACTTCACAGAAGGCTCGAAGCCTTCTGAGCATTCCGCCCCCCCTTGCATTCCCCCCTGGGCTCGTCGCCGAGGATCGATGTACGCAAGTACCCAGACGTCCGAAGTCAAGACGTTTCCACAACGTGGCAGCCCAGAGGGCTGGACCTCATCCCAGGGACTGGCTTTCATGCTGAATCGTTGTTCGAAGATCCCTTGGCCCGCTGAGACACCCCAAGACCGACATTCGCCATAACCTTCCATCGTGTTTTTCTTCGCGGCCCGAGAATGACAGGGTTGTTGGTGCCCTTGGGAACCTGACGCGCATGTCGCTGCCATCAAAGGCTCGCCTCATGATGATCGAGTCTGCAATGCAGAGGCCCATGGCAGCGTCGTCCGTCCACTGCCCACGGTGGAGGCGGAAGGAGTTCGACTCGCCGTAGAACTTGAGCTCCCGGAGGTCGAACCGACTTTCGCGGGGTTCGTCCTGCGCTAAGCGAGGGGGCGGAGAAACCTGACATCCTGGCGTCGTGGAAAAAAACAACAAACAAACCAATAATTCAAAACAGACAAAGAGAACGTTCAGCTATGTTCGGCCTCTGGCAGCCCTCACGAAGCCCAGGGGCCATCAACAACTACCCAGGATGAGAAAGCTCTCCCTGGGAAGAGGTCCAGACCTCTGGGGAGCCACGGTGTGAAAAAAAAGCACTGCGTCGGATGTCTGAGGGAAAAGGGGAGGGGGAAGGCAAAGGACGGACAGGAGTAGTGGGGAGGCGGAGGGGGCAGGAGGAGAGGGGAGGAGGCAAAGGGAGGAAGAGGGGGCACGAGGGGTGAGAGAGGGACGGAGATGAGGGGAAGGGGGAGCGGGTGAAGGTGAGAGAGGAGGGAGGAGGGAGGTGGGTGGAGGAAGGATGCACGGGGAAGGGAGGGAGAAGGAAGGCCCTCTCGGTAGCACTGAAAGCTCATTTTCCCCCAAAGGGTGCCAGGGATTTCCCCCCCCCCTCAAGGGCGATTGCGTTCCCCATCCAGGCTCTTCTTTGTTTTCCCTGGTGGACGGAGGGGGGGAGAGGTGGGACGAGGGAGGAGGAAGCACGGCGAGCAGGAAAGGGAGGCGGGGGAGGGGAGGAGAAGGGCGGGAAGGGGAGGGAAGAGGAGGGCTAGCTGGCTGGCACGCCAGGGTTGGCTGCCAGGCAGCTCCGCCGGATGGAGATCTGCGCCCTTCATTTTCCACGTCCCATGGTCCGATGGTCCGATGGTTCTATCGGAAACAGGCCGCGGGCGTCGCTGCGTCGCGCCGCCGCGAGTGCGCGCCCCGCCCAGGCCCAGACGGGGCGTTCTGCGCGCGAGCTCCCTGCGCAAATGCAAGAATTATCAAGGCGGCGAAGCCGCAAGGAACAAGAGGAAGGTGGACCAGAAAACAAACGACACCACCCCGCCCACGACCCAGCGATGTTGAAAATTGGGGCACCTGCCCATCTGCGACCCACCTGCGACACCACCCACCCTACCACACACCTGCGACCTTGGGTCGCAGGTGGGGTGCTGTTGGTTGGTTCTTGGTCGAGAAGGAAGGCGGGCCATCTAGCTTGGAGCGGCAACTGGACGCAAGACGAAGGACCGGCACCAGAAGCGCGGGGAGAGCCTGGAAAGAGAGGGCAACAGTAAACGGGGCCGACTGAGAGAAGCCATCCCGGGGCGAGGCGGGCGAGGCGAGGGCGAGCCCGGTACGCGGACAGACGACAACATAAAAGAAGAAACAGCGGAGGGGGGGGGGGGGATCTCCGTTTCCGCTACGCTTGCGGAGCGGGCAGGGAAGGCAGAGCAGGACAGCGACGACGACGACGACGCGACGACGACGACGACGAGCTCGAGGGTGACGAGGGAAAATAAGGCGAGGAGGATGGGAAGGAGGCGGAGGTGGAGAGAAGGGGCAGGGATGGGAAGGCAAGAACGACGATGAGGAAGATGAAGTCCAAAAGCATCAGGAGCAGCGAGGCCACAAGACGCAGGTCACAACTGCACCCTCTATCACGGCGCTGTGAGCTCGGAGAAAGCGGCCAAGCGCGCTTCAAAGCAGGCCCCCCGCGCCGCTGCAGACAGCAAGCGAGGGGGCCAAGTGCCCTCAAGGACCCCGCCCCCCCTCAGCGTCGCGAGATCGACTGCGAGGAACGAAGCGCGTATCACGAGCATCCTCCTCCAACACCGCATCAGACAGAGAGCGGAGAGCAAAACGAGCAAAACGAAATCACCCCCTCCGCCGCGGCGAGCTCGAGGAGGGAACACAACGCCTCGAACTGAGGCTCGAACAGTTGCTTCCACAGGGCATGCCGCATGCCGTGGGAAGGCGACTGTTCGAACCCCTGGGTAAACGCTCTGCAAAGGTGGACCGGGTAGAGGGGGTCCCGCCACGACGGCTCCAGCCAGCAGCAGGGAACGAGGCGGCCAGTGGGGGGAATCCTGTCTGCATCGCCCTTGTCCCCTCCCAGACTTGCGCACGACCGCCCATGTCAGGAGAAGGGAACATCAGGGGGAGGGGAGAAGAAGGAGGGGGAGGGGAAAGGGCACATGCGGAAGCGGCTCGCTGAGACTGGGGGCGAGGTCCTGCGGCGGGCACAGCTGACCCACGAGGCGCACGCCACTGACCGCGGGAGAAGGGGGGGAGGCCGACGCGGACTCCGCCACTCCGAGCGCCGGGTCTTCACCTGAGCGAGCAAAGACGTATGGACATGTACGCCCTCCGTGCTCCCGCGCGCACGAGGGACCGCGCTCAAACGCAAGCCTGCGGTAGCTGACCACGTAAGTCTACATATGTTTTTGGCCGCTGGCCACCCGGTCCCCCGACGCTCCAGATCGCAGCACCCGCGGATGAGGACAGCGGAAAGGGGGAGCGAAGCCAACCTGGGGGGAGAGGGGGAGAGACCGATGAAGGAGCGAGCGAGCAGAAACCGCAGGGAGCGGAGGGGCTCACCAGCGCCCCAGATCAGGGGCCCATCACATGCAAGACGGGGCCCGAAGCCGGTCCGCGTTGGAGGTAGCGAGCCCCTCGAAGGAGCACCTGTAGGCAAAAGGCAGGCCAGGCGCCTGGGGCGCGGGCAGCGGCGAGGAGCACGGGGCCCGCTTGAGGCCTGGGAACCGACGGGGGGAGGGGAAAAAGGGCGGAGCCACAGTTTGAAAACGACCCGCCCTCCATCTGTGAAACTGTTGTCACTTCTTAAGCTTCAGAGTCATCAGTGATGAAGAGTCTCAGGCGAAACGCCCAGCCCGCCTTCAAAACTGGCCTCGGGGTGCGACAAGGAGAAGTTATTGATAAGGAGAAGGAATGGAGGAGGCGGAGGATCCCCATCAAGAGACCCCGAGGGGGTGCCCCCGAGGGGACATCGGTAAGCCGGTCCCCCCTCCATGGCAACAGAAACCCTCAACCAAAGTAGGACACACAATCCGAAGACCCATGGATCCATTCTCCCCAAATTCTGCATGTTGACCCCTCGCCGACTGCGAAACGAGTAGGGGGGAAAGGGTACCGTTTCCCGCCGACCGCCCGTCCCGGGAGAGGAGTCCGGGCTCACTTGGAGGGCCCTTCGCCTGGTCGGCCGCGCCATCCACCACACCTCTGACTGCATCCATGTCCGTCGTCATCTTCGTCACCATGCCCATCACATGTTCGTCATCATTGTCTTCATGTCTGCTCATCGGATGTAGCTCCCTCCGTCGGGTCACCCTCCCGGCTTCCTCCATTGCCTGGCTGAAGTCCGGTTGCCGCATGGGTGACTGCATTGCTGGTTTCTTCTTGTCGCCGTCCATCCGATCAAGTGGGGAATCGAGTCGAGCTTGCTTGCGCCCGCTACTAAAGGCGTCCCAATATGATGCTTCTCTGCTGGCATCGCTTTCAGGACAAGGATGGATGTGACGGTTGGAGCCCACAACTTGCGCCAACTAGGACCGGCGCTATCAGTAGCACTCAAAGCAATTCAATGTTTCACGAGGGGTGGGGAACCGCCGGACGAGATCGTCAGCATCAGCAAATGAATCAATAACATTATCCCAGTGCGACCCTACCTAGGAGTTGGAGCCCCTAGGAAAGCAGTATTAGTAGTGACAGTAAAGCTAAGCTAAAGCTAAGCTAAAGCTAAGCTAAAGCTAAAGCTGAGCTAAAGCTGAGGTAAAGCTAAGCTAAAGCTAAGCTAAAGCCAAGGTAAAGCTGAGGTAAAGCTAAGCTGAAGCTACGCTAAACATAAGCTAAAGCTAAGCTAAAGCTAAGCAAGCTAAGCTAAAGCTAAGCTAAAGCTAAGCTAAAGCTAAGCTAAAGCTAAGCTAAAGCTAAGCTAAAGCTAAGCTAAAGCTAAGCTAAAGCTAAGCTAAATCTAAAGCTAAGCTAAAGCTAAGCTAAAGCTAAGCTAAAGTTAAGCTGAAGCTAAGCTGAAGCTAAGCTAAAGTTAAGCTAAATCTAAGCGAAAGCTAAGCGAAAGCTAAGCTAAAGCTAAGCTAAAGCTAAGCTAAAGCTAAGCTAAAGCTAAGCTAAAGCTAAGCTAAAGCTAAGCTAAAGCTAAGCTAAAGCTAAGCTAAAGCTAAGCTAAAGCTAAAGCTAAAGCTACAGCTAAGGCTCCCAGGGGACTGGGTGAACCGCGGGGCGGATGCCGGGGGAACCGCCCGGGGCGTGTTACACTGCCCGGCCCTTTAAGCCAAGAGGGTAAGAACCCTTCTTGGCAGAGCCTAGGTAGGGAATAATTCCGCAAGGGGAGGGGAAGGTGGGAGCAAGAGGAGTAAAGAGGAGTCCTTAGTGTGCTTTCATCGAAGAGAAAGAGAGAGAGAGAGAGAGAGAGAGAGAGGGTAGAAAAACGAGAGAAACAGAGAGAGAAGGAGAGAGAAAGAGAGAGAGAGAGAATGAACAAAAAGGATACTGAAAGAGGGGAGAGCCTGCTGACATGTAGACTCCATGAAAGAAACCTGATCAAACAACTGATCATTCTGCTGCTCTGAAGAATAGACCACGCCAGGGAATATCGCTCCCCCACACCGACCGTGCCATGTTAGGAACGAAACTCAAACAAACAAAAACAAAAAACGCGGGGGGGCAGGAAGGATAACAAGGAATACGAATAAGATCCTGATGGAATACGATTGGGATCCGATTGGAATACGGGGATCCGATTGAAAATATATGGGGACATGATTGGAATCCGATTGGAACCCTTAGGAATCCGATCGGAAGATGATTGGGATCTTACCAGAATCCACTTTGAAGTTCTATGCGAATCTGATTATGATCTTATTCGGATCCTATTGGAATTCGATTGAAACCCGATTGGAGTCATATTGGAATCAGATTGCAACATTGTTGGGCTCCACTGAAATCCGATTTGACTCCAGATTGGAACCTGAATGGCATCTGATTCGAATCTTACCTGAATCCTACTGGGACACTGAGGAATCCAATTGGGATGCAATTGAGACCCAATTGGAATGATCTTACAATATGAGTTGGGACCTATTGGA